CCCAATTTATTACCCTTCAAATACTGATGTGCCGCTAGATTGATGGATACGCCGTTGCCCTACAAGCGGGTGGAAGAAGTGATGGTGCCGCAACTGATTATTTCTTGCCACTCGATCGACCTCTAAGAGCTCTTCAATGCGTTCAGGCGGGTAAGCCCATTACCAGGGGAACAATTCAATGTCAATGGTTAATCAAGCCTTTTGATGAATGCCGGAGACTTGGTTTAACACCCGATTGGGAAGGCATTGTCCGAAAAGCATTTCCCAAGGAGACCGGTATGCTCGTCGCAGAAATTGTTCTTCCAGAAGGACCGTCACACAAATTGATTGAAGAAGGAGATCTGTTACTTAAGGTCAACGGCGAATTATTGACACAATTCATTCGTCTGGATGATATCCTTGATTCCAGTGTTGGTCAGACGGTAAGCTTCCTTATACAGCGTGGCGGAGAAAATATCGAAGTTGCGGTTGCTGTTGGAGATCTTCATATGATTACACCAGACCGTTTTGTCTCTGTCGCAGGAGGCAGCTTTCATGATTTGTCGTATCAGCAAGCACGTCTGTATGGTGTTGCCTGTAAAGGTGTCTTCATGTGTGAAGCCAGTGGATCATTTCGGTTCGAAGGCACTGATAATGGCTGGATGATTCAAACCATTGATCATAAGAAGACGCCTGATTTGAAAAGCTTCATTGAAGTCATGAAGAAAATTCCTGACCGAGAAAGGGTTGTAGTAACATACAAACATCTCCGAGATCTCCACACTCTAAATACCGGCATTCTCCAGATTGACCGCCATTGGTCAAGTAAGATGAGATTGGCCGTCAGAAATGACATCACTGGTCTTTGGGACTTTTCGGATTTAGCCGACGCTCTTCCACCCACAACACCTGTAGCTAGGTCTGCAAATTTCATACAACTGGAGAATTCACAGCATCCAGCGGTAGCGGATATTGTTCGCAGCTTCGTTCGAGTGCTATGTCACATGCCTGTCAAACTAGACGGCTACCCCCGGAACCGCAAGTGGGGTATGGGCGTTGTTATCGATGCTGAGAAAGGATTGGTTGTTATCTCTAGAGCCGTCGTTCCATATGATCTATGTGACATTTCGATCACAATTGCCGATTCCATCATTGTGGAAGGAAAGGTAGTATTCCTGCACCCTCTACAAAATTATGCCATCATCCAATACGACCCGTCGCTGGTTCTTGCCCCTGTGCAAAGCGCGAGATTGAGCAATAAGCAGCCTTCCCAAGGAGCTTCAACATACTTCATTGGTTTCAACACTAACATGCGAATTGTCGTTGCTAAAACCACCATCACTGAAATTACTGCTGTTGCCATCCCTGCAAATGCTGCATCTCCAAGATATCGGGCCATCAATATCGATGCTATCACTGTTGACACAAGCCTGAGTGGTCAATGTGGAAGTGGTGTGCTTATCGGTGAAGATGGCATTGTCCAAGCCTTGTGGTTGACTTACTTGGGAGAGAGATCTCCATCCAGCTCAAAGGATGTCGAATATTATCTTGGTCTTGCAACTCCTACGCTTTTACCTGTCATTAAAAAAATACAAAATGACGAGAAGCCCAAGTTACGCATGTTGAGCGTTGAATTCAATACCATTCAAATGGCTCAAGCTCGTGTCATGGGTGTCTCTGAAGAATGGATTCGTAAGGTTGCTGAAGACAATCGATCTCGCCATCAACTTTTCATGGTACGAAAGCGCACCTTTGAGAGAAATAGTGAGTCGGGTGCTCTTTTGGAAGGAGACATCATTCTTTCTCTCAATGGTAAGATAATTACTCGGGTCAATGAACTTGATGTAATGTACGACCATGACGTTCTCGATGCAGTAATTGTCCGCGATTGTAAGGAAATGCACATTAAGCTTGACACTGTTTCAGCAGATGATCTCGAAACTGATCGAGCCGTTTCCTTCTGTGGAGCTATTTTACATCGCCCTCATCATGCTGTTCGCCAACAAATCTCTAAACTCCATAGTGAGGTTTACGTTGCGGCGAGAACAAGAGGATCTCCATCCTACCAGTACAACCTCACCCCAACAAACTTTGTGACCCACGTCAATGGGAAACCAACACCTGATTTGGAATCATTCTTGAAAGTTGTTATCGAGATTCCTGACAACACATGTACGTTTCCGTTTTTTCCTCTCCCAGATTGACAAATTACTAATATTGTTCTGAAGATTTCCGCATCAAGGTAGTAACCTTTGATAACGTCCCATGGGTCATCACAATGAAGAAGAATGATCACTATTTCCCAACTACAGAGTGGATTAAAGACCCTTCGGAAAAGAGTGGTTGGAAAAGAATCACCTATGAAATGGGTAATGCCGTGGAAGGTGAAGGTAAAGAAGGTATTGGCAGCGTAGTTGGCGATGACGTCGGAGATTTTGATATTGCGGGAGGATCTGATGACCCTATGTCCTTTAAGTCAATGTTGTGAATACTACATACATGACTTACAATTGCATAGACAAGGCATGATGTCAGCGTGTATTTTAGTGGTTTACCGTGGGTTTTTATAGAAGGTAGCCAACCATCTGTGAGCGAAAACGTACAGCAGCATTGACATGCGACAGTCAATTGCTGCGAAGCTTTATGATAGTTCTGGTATATGAGGCTGCGGGTTCACGCCTTCCGATGATTCTAGTCGCATTCGCAGATCTAGATATGGGGCGTTTTTGGATGATGGCCAATGATACCAAACCGATCAATAATCGGAGGATGAATAATAACCAATTTCATTCATGTATATGTGCCATACACATTTTGTAGATAACGATGTACCGCGTTCCCTTCCGCCTTCTTTTATATTCTTTGTCTTGCGTTGCTTTGCTCCTGTCAAGGCGCTGTCAAGTCACAATAAATTAGTATATCAGTGTCTTCCAATGACGTACCTGCTTTCCTCAAGACACGTATCTTTACTCCAAGCACTACCTTTCAATTTCAATATCCGCTCCTATAGTTTAAGTCTATCGAGCACAGAAGCGTCAGCAAAATTTTCAATGAAAGGAACCTTGGAATACGCAGGCAATGCAAGTCTAAACCTGATTCATACTTCCTTATGATGAGTCAGCCATTTTCCTGTGGCTTTTCGCTTATTTTCGCTTAATGCTCCACACGTACTGTATGCTCACTTTCAAGTTTAGTGGGAGTCTGGCACAGTTTCAATTTTCCTTGTAGAGTTGGTTTTATAGCTGTCAATGTATATGTCTATCGAAATACATATCTGTCAACTTATATGTCTGTCAAAGTATATACCTATCAAAGTATATACCTATCAAAGTATATACCTATCAAAGTATATACCTATCAAAGTATATACTAATCGATTAATTGATTGATTGATTTTATTAACGTCCTTTTTCAGTCCATAACTATTTAGGACGACTAGGCTATAGGGGCCTAGCAAATACTATTGGATATCTATAATAAATATATTCAATTTGGGGGAGTAAAAACAAATATTGGGAAACTAAGCCCGATTTTTATTCGGAATGCAAATAGAGATAATTGTTTTCATTTTCTGAGATACTTCCTTTCTGATTCTTCCCCTCCCCTAATCCAATTAAAATATCCTAATATCCAATTTCTCTTTTTTTAAAATCCTAAATTCAATTTGCTATTCCTCCCTTTTTATAAAAGGCAAGAGTTATCCCCTCCCGAATTGCCTCCAATATAGCAAAAAGTCCTCTTACTAATAAGATAGTAATAAAAATCACCACTCTTCTCTATCTTTATTTCTTTTAAACTAGCCCCTTATATATTTTCATAAACTTGATATCCTCCAGCTCTTATTAAATGTATATAGTCGAAACTGTTAACAATAATGGGGCAAAGCCGAGCCCTAAGCCTATATACAAATCAATTCGGAAAATTCGAAAATTCGAAAATTAAAAGGAAAAATGTTATATTGTATTGATACTTAGAATATAGTATTAATTTGAAGATGATAATATTCTTTATATTATATTATTGTGGTATTTGAGTAGCTGAAAGCTAAAGGGTATTAAAAAAGGGATTGTAATATAAGTAGAGTGACGACAAGCTTTATATTGAAAAGATTCTTTTAAAGAGAAGAGATTTATTATGTATTTTATTTCTATAAAGTAATAATCGATAGTAGATATTGAATTTGATTAGGGTTTCTATAATTTTTGTATCTGTGTTTAAAGCTAGTATTCAACTTTTCGTAGGTATTGCTATTGTAAAATCATAATATAATCCTTTGCTATATCTCTGACACCTCTCTTCTTCCAATTCTTTTAATTCCATTTGCAACTCAATCTTAGCTCTACAGACTCTCAAAAGAGAGCTGAAGGTTCGTAGGATGTACTGTGTATAGGTGTTGAGTCTTCGCATCCCAGTATATACTAATCAAAGTATATGTCAATCAAAGTATATCTCAAAGTCTTTTCATACTACGAACAAAGTCTAGAGTCTAGTCTCTCAGCACATATGGCCATGCGATTAGGCTGTAACATACGAGTCAAACCATCAACGAAGCTGCACCAGTGATGCGCGAGACAGCTTCATACCAGTAGTTCTGAGGTTTCGTTGAAGTGATTAGTTCTGCGGGACTGCATGCAGTTCCGTGATAATGGAGGGCCACGAGAAAGAGCCACTTGGAGAAAAAGTCACTTGGAGAAGAAGAAGAAGAGGAAGAAGAAGTAGATGATGATGAAAACGCTAGCCTTTTCTGCAAACTAGAAGTTGCATGGCTAGTTTTTCTAGTTTTGCTGCTACATTGTAGGCTATATGGTATTATATCTCTGCTTGCCAGCTTTTTGTAGCGTCTGCTATTCCATATTCCATGTCTCCGAGCTTACCAATTTCAAGTTCCGTCGACTTCCTCTACATTCTCGTTTCCAGAGGATAAGCGTAGTTTCCAGAATATGCCAGCCGTCGACTGGTTTTGGCAGATTCTTTGAATCACTTCACGCATGAGATTTCGTATCTCCACTGTCTAAGCACATCTATCCGGTCACTTGAAGCAAAGCTGGCATTTCTAGCGTGAATTTTGGTACTCTGTATTCGTGCGAATATTTCTGTCGTTCGCCGAAGAATCGATGATCACCCGCTCGTTGTGCTGACACTTCTCGAGTGGGCTTTTTTGCTCTAAAGTCTTCCCTTCCTCCTGCTCCAACGTTTGCACCTTGGTTTTGAGTATATTGAGGCGGAATTGCCATTCGCCGTAGAATGACGTTTCCTCATGTCGTTTTCTGCTTGTTTCGAACGTGTCTGTTGATCTAGGGGCTCGCTTTCCAATGATTCCTCTTTCTTTCTTGGTTTTCTGTGTTCGTTATATCTTGATCTGTGATTTTTAGTACTGATGTAGTCGCGAACTATCGAGCATTTCCACAGCTAAGGGAGATAAACTCCTCATTATTGCTTCGCTAACCATTTTTGTTATTCTCATCGAAGGAAAAATGAGGTCTGGAATCGAAAAATGAGTCAAATTACATTAAAATGTACAAAAAAGTTAGTCAATATAAGAGGTCCATCATTCCAAAAAATCCAAACCGTCGTGAAAAGGTTTCAATTTGCGCGTGAATTATTTTTGATGATATATGAAGTGAAAAGTTTGTGGGGAGAAGGCTCTTTTTGTAGTCAAGATCACGCTTTAAAACCATAGATTCCGACCGATCTACGTCATTAGTTAGCTTAGCGATGAGCTTGGCTATGATTATCACAATAACTAGTCTCTAAAATTTCCTAAGGCACGTAACAATTAGCGCTGCCATACCCCCGAAGCACGCAAAAGCACGTGACGATCGATATAAATTTGACACTAAAGAAAATAAAGCTAATATTCGCGCTTGCTATTACGTCAAAGCAATGGTACTTATTCGAGAACGACTCTCTGAGCCTGAAATCACTCTAGCACATACTCTAAAAAACCAACACCCTAAAGAAAATTTTCATTTACATAGTCCGGACCCTAGAGCCCCAACCTCCAATTTCCACATCGATTTTCATACTACCATATTCAAATATTTTCTGGGCTCTCCGAAAGCCTTCATGCTAATCTCAGCCCCAAACACCATCATACATGCATTAACATCCAACAATGTGACATCCCCCCTCTCGATCCTTTATACTAGACCAAAACCAAAATAATATTACTAACTTTAATTGAGACATATCCATTTTTCCAAAGCAGTGGTGTCCAAAACTCAGATTCCATCTCCCTTCATCCGTGTAGTCCCAATGAAACTAAATGCATAATGATGCGCTCAAGAAGATGCCTAAGCGATGTGAGGCATCTCGATTGGAATCCCCGCAACAGTGAGTTGAAGTATAAGTAAATAGATGCCCCACACGAAATGTGAAAAGTGCTGTACCTTGTCAATAAACTCTTCCTTTTTCTCTTCTCTCGAACCTCGTTAGCGCCAATATTCTCGGAACTACACACCCGCACAGAACCCCACGGGAATGAATCTCAAAATATCATTCAGATACGTCGATCCCCCTTTCACAAATTCAACATACCTAATTCAGCTTCGCTTATTTGACAGAACACCTCCTATAAGTTACATCTGAAATTTATTCACATGAAACCTCACTGTCACCAACGTGAACTTTCACTCTAGTTGTGAGTCTTCAATTTGTGATACTACTCTGCTTATATAACAATAACATAAACTCCTTTCCCCTTTCCTCATTCCCGCATCCATCCAAATTCTAGGAATATAATCAAAATCTACCAATGTTTGTCACAGGACGCTATATTACAAAACCGTGCACCCCCGGCACACCACACCTGAAACAACGAAAGTAAAATACGAAATCCTAGCTCAAGTCAAATCCAGTCATTGAATGTGCACATTCGCTGACTCTATGACGATTTCTTTTCACTGGAAAAGATCTCTTCCACCTGCTACTCACAAATTCTTCACAAGGAGCCAGTTCTGCCTCTGTGGGTTGTCTCGAAAGTCGAATTTGCACTGGTGGCGGCATATTACTCTGAGCTGAAAATGTGCGTGACGGTTGTATGAGTTCTGAAATAGGGTATTGATAAGGTCTCTCATTGTTGACGAGTAGCACTCCCTGCCTATAAAGAGTTATTGGTGCGTCAAAGGACGATTCATCAGCTTCAGCTCTCACCTGCACAGGCATACGATTCTGAGTCTCAGTTGTAGATGGCGATCGCACAATTTCGGAAGGAGAACGTGCAGGATGCATGTGGTTATTCTGAGAGATCCGGCCCATGGGTGGTTGCATACTTGATGGCAAGCGAGCTTGCACTCCCAAAGGCGAAGATTTCCTCATACCGGTTCCTGCCTCTAGCAAGCCCATCTCATATCCATTTCTTGATCGTTTGATAGGCCTTGAATTGTCTGGTAATTGAGGTGCTCCTACTACTGGTTTTGGGGAAACACTGGTCCTATCAGTAGACGTGTTAGAGGTTGGACTGTTTCCTTGATCGCTTGAAGAATTGGAGGCCTCGGAGCTTGACGCAAGAATGACCGGAGAAGCATGAAGCTCTGGTTGTTGTTGGCGCTTGCGCTTCTCTCCACGAACTGTACGTGGGTCAGGCGTAGGTGGATCTTGAATGCTGGCGGTCATACCCCACTCCGCAGCTTGCAGTTTGAAAAGGTCGAGTATATCAGCCCAAAGAGGCTCCCCTGCAATATTCGATGGCAGAGATCTTTCATAAATGAGCAGGTTGTCTCTAGCGTATCTATCACCAATCTTTGCAACCTCTATTTCGAGCCTGATTGCGTACTTCAAGGGAGTACTTTCATCAATGAAGGTCGTTTTCGTATACAACGACCAACTTCCTTCCACCGTTGTTCCATTGAGATTACTCTCGTCTGTAGCACACATTAAATTATGCGTGGCGCACGCTGGGACATCATCCTTGGTCGATTGGGCTGTTTGCTCTGTTTCACGTGCAACTTTGACTTTCTCTTCAGTAAATTGCGATTTTGGGGCGAATTCTAACGACTTCATGGAGGAATGGCGAATCTGTTTGGTCTTTACATAGTTTTCGAGGCTTTGTCGTGCGTCCGAGGAAGTGTCCAGTGACAGAGCGATGAACTGTTGGAGCATTTCTCCCAAGACCATCCTCAACATAGTCAAACTTTCTTCATTCCTGAGCATGTACACTTTCATTTTTTTCTCTGACTCCGCTTTCTTCGCATCAAGAGCTTCGATTTGAGCGTCAAAATAGTGGTAATAATGGTTATCGAAATCGTCATCATACGAACCCACTTCTGGCAATTTCGAAAAGGAAACAGTGTATTTGCCAGGAGCAGCACCAAGGATTCGATCAATCGGGATCGACATTCGCTGGTTTGCTGGAGTAACCTCAGTTTCTTGCTCTCGCGAAGTCTTTTTCCCTGTGGCGGAAGTTTTGTTCCCCATTTGTTGTGGATGACCTATGTATTGTTAGTCATGGCATCCTGAAGTAAGTTTTCTTTGAGACATACCATTTGTTGTTTTCGATTTCTTTTGGTGACCGCTGGCAGGGCCGTGTTCGATGGGGGAGCTTGAGCTCTTGTCATTGTCGTGGTCAATTGATGGGCTTGAGGTCTTGCAATTGATGGGGAAGCTTGAGCTCTTGTTGATGATGAGGGAGCTGGCATTGTCGTGGTCAATGGAGGGGCTTGAAACTCTTGTTGATGATGAGGGAGCGGGCATTGTCGTAGTTATTGAAAGGACTGGCGTGCCATAAGATCGTGAGGAGCCCGGCAAAATGGGTTGGCCCCCGGATGCAACAGCCAACGAAGTTCTTCTTGTTCGCGTATCAGGTTCGATGCTTTTTCGAGGGTTTTGAAGATGCTGCTCGTTGTTCGGTTGCATAGCTTGTCCATTAAAAGTTGTTGAAGGGCCCATCGTGTGCTGAAAGTCAGTAGTTAATTCTTCCCCGTATTCTGATAGATCATGGTAGGCGGTTGCATGTATTCTTGATTATTCAGCGGCATCATGGGCTGTTGAATTGGTACATTGTTATTAAAGTTAAGAGCTGGATGGAGAGGAGTAACTCCATATGCAAGTGTCGGTGTGATGATTCCATTGAACTGCCTGCCTATATACCAGGCCTTAAATATTTCGAACTGCACCATTTGCGTATCTCCAAGGGCGAGACGTTGTTGAACAAAGTGTTGAAATTCGGCGACCTGTTCTTGCGCCGATAGATTAGCGAATGATGATACGGCGGTGGTATCCATTCCTTGGTATGCTTGTTGGTTGTTGTTGACACCATTGAATTTGGTCTGATTGACGGGCGTTTGACGTTGTTGACCGCAATAAGCAGGAGCTTCTCCAAGTTGGGATTGAGCAGGTATTTGCTGGCTAATATTGTGTCCGTTATCATCAAAAGGCGTCGGAAAGAATTGTTCAAAATCGATCGGAGCAATTTGAAATGGAAAATCAATGTATGCTTGTTGGTTATTGTTGACACCATTGAAGTTGTTCTGATTGACGGGCATTTGAGGTTGTTGACCGCAATGAACAGGAGCTTCTCCATGTTGGAATTGAGCAGGTATTTGCTGGCTAATATCGTGTCCGTTACTATGTGTGGCATAAACAGGCAATGGAAATAGGTGATCCAAATCGATCGGAGGAACTGGAAATGGAAGATCAATGAATGGTTGTTGAGCGATGCCATGGTCTATATTACTTGGATAGTTGCTCTGGATTTGAGTCTGCTGTTGCCCGAAAGTATAGGATGGATCTTGAGCCTGATGTTGATTGCTATCGAAGGGCCATTGAGGTACTTGATCATGGTTGATGAGAGTTCCATCAACATAGTGATGAGCAGGTATTTGCGGGTTGACAGTGGATGCGCCATTGTTCGGATGATAGTCAGGGAACTGATCTCCTCCAGGCAAACCTTGAAAATCAAGCAATGGGACTTGAGGCTGTGGATCAACAAGAGGAACAGGCGGAGATGGCACGCCAGGGATTGTTAGTGCTCTGTTGCGGGCCCGCGCGTTTTTGATAGCTCGAAAACATCCTTGATGGCTGCCCTTGGAGCTGACATCTTTTGGATCATGGCCAGACATTGTGATGAAAAGAGATATATAATATACAGTTTCTGAATTATTTGGTATTGGGAGTCACTGTGTCGAATTGTTGTGATGGATATTTTGATGTAACTTTCTTGGAGTTGCGGCGGTTGTGTTGTGTTGTGTTGTATGTAGAAGAGACTTTTATTAGTTTCAAGAGAGGTAAGGGTAAAATTTTATAAATATAGAAAGTGGAAGTGTGGCCTGCTTATTAATCGTCAGAGTAGACCTAGACTAGACTGTCTAGGGCAGGCAAATCTACCCAATAGAGGTCTCGCACCACAAGGAGATTTGAACTGCCGTACCAGAATAGTTCTCGAGGGAATTTCAATCGGGAATGAAGAGATAAGGCAGCTGGTGGTACCGTGGTGGAACTGCACAGAAACCTCTCGAGCCCGTATTATTGGTAACTCGTCCGAACGCTCAGATGTTCAACTTGTGGTGAATTAACATTGGTAAATTACTTTACGAGATAACAGCATTGGGAAGAGCAATCATCTACAGGATCAAACTTACCACACCACATCACACCGCATTTGATTGAAGAAGAGTAAGCTCATACCAAAAGAGGAACTTGAAGATATCTAGGTAGCCATCCAATCGAAAAGACGGTTTTGAGACGAATGTGTAACACTGATCTCTCAATTTCACCCCTGAAATGGGATATATGTCTCCTTCTCTGGGATTTCAATTGCAAGCACCATCTAGGTGCACATCCCTCATTGACAATGTTCATCAGGACGATTCTAGCCCAAATACAACGTCAAAGAACAGATATGAAAGTAGACATATGTGATAGAATCTCAGCTTATTGTCCTTTCTCATGGATACCCATCTATTTCTACTATATATCATCTGTTCTTGTAAGTAATTCTTGAATAAATAGCCTTCATGTATTCAACTTGTCAATATAATTATACCCATACCACAAATTCAAATGGAAACAGAAATAGAAGATTCGGAGAACATACATCAAAATAGATACGCAGTTTGACATTGATTCTCTATTCTTCATTATATATTGAGATAGATTTGTTTCTGTGTTTTCGTTTTTCAGTGAAATCTCTCCATCTGGGTGCCTTCCCTGACCATGCGCCCTGTATATTTCCGCCCTTCCTTCCTTCCTCTTCCATTTATTCTTGTCCACAAACTCATTCCATCTCCTGAGTATTTGTGACAGTATCACAAATACAACATTTATGTGTTTCAAAGATTGGAACATTCAGCTTTTAAAATTCATATTATTGTGTTCGCCTCGAAGTAATTTTACATCAAATACTGCTGATGGGTGTAATGGCGACAAGATTTCACACCCTATATCTCCAAACTTGGCCGCTCCCTATCTTCCTGCAGAGCTTTCCCGACACCAAGTACCACTCTCGATCATCTGTTCGTTTCTTCAATCAATCATTGTATCAATTACAAGTTCTACCCACTGGCACAGAATTGGGGCGCAAGAATAAAGTCCAAGATAAGTTGGGCTCACTGATATCTCTTCTGCAATTCTGTCTTTCAGTCGAGCTCTGCGATAAAGCCAGCATATGGAACATTCTTTTCCAATTCTCAAACATGCTAATTCCTTTCTAATAGCATGGATTTTCTTAATATCGAATCTCGATCCCTTCCTACCCATTCCTCTTCCTCTTCCTCGAGACGAACTGATCAAGCCTCGCAGCTTAGAACTGGGTTTGTTCCATATTCTATACCGGAAGCAAGTGTGCTACGAGAATATAGGGTTATGTAGAGACTTATTACAAACTAAAGGTTGTAATTATACTGAGAGCGCATGTCTTTATTTTCGATACAACGCATACACTGTCGAAATATCTCTTCGCATACAATATTTACAATTCTCATAACGAGCAAGCTTGTTCCTCAGTTCGTTGGGCATAAACTATCATGAAATTCTTTGCGAGGGTCTATCCACAGGTATACGTAGGTAGTGTTCCGAAAGTCAACCATCTCCGATTACAATTATTACTTTTTACACTTTCCAAGCCCCAATCAACACATCCAAACACTACACTTGCTTCTTGATTTTAACTTATAATGACTATAACAATAAATCATCTGAGTCGATTAAAATGGTACATGTAAATTATATCGATATTGGCATGTCGTTTAACCCCCGCATCGGAAAATTGTACGCGGGGCCCCGCATAAAATGACAAAATACGGTACGCAGTGAGACGTCCTGTGCTCATTTGTTATTCCCGTATTGTCCTAAATATCAGGCTTTAATAATTACCAAAGACATTTCGATACGCAAGATTAATTAGGTAGAGAATAAGATTCAGTTTCACTCTCCAATTCCGTAGAATTTATTTGTGGCGGATTTATCATTCTAATAACCTTGAAATCACTAATGTTTGAAGGTACGGAATATCATACTCTTGGCCTCCAAATTCGCTAACAACTTCTCGCGTATCGACCAATAAAAGCAAAGTGCCCCTCGAGAATGTTGACGGTCAGATAACTATGTACTTCCGCGATAACATGGTTTAACTTGATGGGTTGCTCTATTATCAAGTCGATCCTTCTTAAAGCACCTGGCTCACTTTCAAGAAAGCATTTAATGTATATCTCGAAACGAGATTTTGCAATGAGTGCAGGGATTCGTGACACTCTTCAAGATGACAAGAATCACAATTATCCAAATATTTTGGAGTCTGCGAGAAAATCATCGTACTGAGTTCCTTGACATTCTTTATTGTACGGTGCGGGAAGATATGTTTTTTTCTATGCTAAACTAGATCATATAGTTAGATTCAATAATCGTACAGTATTACAAGGGTATGTGAGTGATTGAATGATACGCATTGTGACAAGGTCTTTCCCTTTTGTATCTACACTTCCATTTCTACACTAGGCACAAAAGCTTCAACATAAAATATGCAATTCGCACCCTCAGTACAATCTTCCGAGATTTTGAAATCTCAACTTCATACATATACCACGGTCGAAGTATTACATGTGTTCCAGCAGCTGTCAGTATACTTGCGAGTCTATCCCTTTCACACACCTCCTCTATTTAGCAAAACGAACCAACTACTTCTTCGAATAAACACGCAAATGAGAGGGATTAGATACATTCCGCCACACGGTGCGAGTTAGTTCGAACTTCGACTTGATACATATCATCATATCAGAATCATAACATTGGCAGATATGCCAGCAACGCGAGGCGCTCACAGACTGTTCACTTCTCCTGAGGTATTTTCGAGACTTATATACGAGATTACATTTTTGCAGAGGCGAACGAGAGAAGGATGAGATTAGTTCGAATTCTGTCTCACGAATTATTACGCTTATGATTTTATCGATTTGAGAGACAAACACAAGAACAGAAGTTTCTAGCCAAAAATATAGAAATCGTGATTTTTCCTACATTTCACACTACGAAGTATCTTACAACGTTTCATCGAATTTTGTGCTACACAAGACGAGCAGAAATTTATCTAGCGAAGGGTTCAAGATGGCAAGTGAGTAAGTAAACGGTGGTGCATACTAACAACACAGGGATATCCTGCAGAATTCTCAAATTCCCACCGAGTCTACGATTTTGTTGGTATCAACTTGGTTGATAAGTGTAAAGTACTTTAGTCTATTATGATTGTATTCGTTCTTGATCATTATTAACTATGGGAAGCTAGTATTTAATATAGTAGAAGTACTAGCGCTAGTGCATACGCTAGTGCAATACAGTGCCCTCTTTTAGATCACATGATCGATATCCCGACAGATTTATATACACCTCGCTAGCTTCCAGTCGCGGACTCACAAGAATTACATTACGCACACATGATTGTTTTATTGAAATTTCCAGCAGAATCTTAGCTCGGAAAAACCCATCGAAAAGAAGTCTCGCGGGAATTTATTTGCATACGAGAGAGGTATTTCGAGACCAGATTCGAGACTGAAGTGGAAACTTTATAGTTAGTGAGGATGTGAGATATTCCAGAGATTTCCTTTCATAGTCGGGATTCGAATATGTGATCAAGAGAGGTGTAAGAGATACGTTGATATGATATTGTGATTTTAAGTGTTGCGGATGATATTTCATCTCGCTGCTGGCTGGAAGGTTACGCTTCAAAAGTCAGGCAGGGGGGATTTTTGAAAAGGGGTGTTGAGTTTGTATTGTTGAGAGTTATATGGTGGTTTGAGAGGACCCGATATGTGAATGAGCGGGGCAAGATTGCATAAGAGGAGAGGAGAGGAGACAAAGAGTAAGGAGTGAGGAATCACGGGTTGGAGGGGGAGTGATATGCTATAGCTATATGCTGATTCAAATTTGTAATATTTGCCTCTACGATCACCGTTTCACTGTACCAGGACATAATAATCACACCGTCCAAACCTGTGCACATATTTTTTTCCTATCCCATACCATTAGTAATGCAAAACATATCGATTATTTCCCAGTATCTCAGGTACAGAGAGAATGTCACTTATATATGGCCCTCTGAGTAGTACTCGCATTAAGTGGATTGGGTTGTGCCATACAGCCTGGAATCAAAAACCACGAGTTATGATGGGTTGAGCTAGGAATTGTTAAAACGAATAATCTGTGATTTCTAGATCTGTCTAGGCCTAAAAATATCCTATCGAAATAGATATTTCCTAAACTCATTAATTTACATTTCTTATTTCGCTCAAATTATGCGGATCGGTTATTTGATGAATAGGTAATCTCTTCAAGAATTATAATTCCATGAACTAGATATGAGTGAGTTGTAACCCCTAGAGCTTCCTTAGACTAGCAGGCAAGTAAAATTGATCTTGAAAATTTGAAGAAGAAGTCCGAAATCTACCTACCTACCCATTGTAAGCACTGTCTCTGGGGATATGGATAGTCCTCAATGGAGTTTCCATATCATAACAGGTCAGATATGATCAGATGATTCCTCTAGACTTATACGCAGTTGTACATTTCCTCTAATTATTAGGGTTTGAATAATTTATCAACTTTTGCTAAAACTGTATCATGTCTATTCCAT